AGAGAGAGAGAGAGAGAGAGAGAAAGAGAGAAATAAACAAAAGGATAGAATCATAACTTTTGTAGACCTTCAAAGAGCCTAAACTCACCGACTTGAGCGCATTGAGAAACCTTTCAGAGGAGAAATCGTTCGTGACGTCAGTCTGAGACGAGATGTAGGTGTTCAAGGCCAAGGTAGTGACCCTTGCCGCGTCATCAGCAGCCGCCTCCTTGCCCACATGGGACTCTGTGCTGGGTACGACGTAGCGGAAGGCCAGTAGCTCGCAGAGAGCAGAAAACAAACCAAGGCTATACATCTCACTGGCCCCGGCAAACGGAGCAAGGTAAGAGCTCTGAGGGTATAGAAAAAAAACAACAGTACAGAAGATTTTGATTTTGTTTTTAATGACATGTTGACCTCCCTCCTACCCCCTCTTCCGCAAAACTATTATGGATACCCACCCCCTCCTTCCTACCCTCCCATCCTGCACAGAAAAAGCGAATGGCGCTAGGCAAGAGCTCTGAAAGTAGAGGAAAGAACCCCAAACGGTACAATAGATTACAATTTTGTATTTTTGGTGCACACATTTTGTTCTAATCTTGTTTTGACACCACTCTCCCACCCACCAACATCCACACATCCACACTAACTACCAAATCCCAGAAATAAGTGTGTTTGTATATATGGGTGTGTTTGGCAGTGTCAGAATTGATTGTTCGAAAGCGTGATTTTATTAAGGTTTTATTGCTCTCCACCCCCTATCCCCCCAAAACAACAACAACAACAACATTAACAACAACAACAACAACAAAACACTAAAACAAAACAAGATAGATTTACGTTATAGATCTAATGCTTTTATGAATCTGGGGATTGGGGGTCGGGGTGATCTGATCATGAATACTCATGCAAAAGTTCGTGAATACAATTTTGTCTTATGCTTTTTTCTTATCAGCATTGTCAGCTGATCTTATTATTGCTAGGAAAGGTCTAGGTTGTCTTTTAAACGTGTCTTTTCTATTTGGAACCTAATTAACTTTTATGTGTACTGTAGGTCCTATAAGACAAAGGCTATTTTTAATAGAGTGTGTTTTACGCTGCTATCTAAGTGATCTATGTCTTTTAAGTGTTGAAAAAAGAGAAAGTTAAAGAGAGAGAAAGATATATAT